AAATCATAAAAATAATCTTAAACTATTCTTAGTTTGAGGCTAATTTATATTGATAACCGGGCTCTTAAACTGTAATTAGTTCAAGGTAAAACACAAGAATCGATGACCTATCCTATGAGTTTTATAGGTCACACTCAAGACTAAACAGTAGTCTACTCACTGTCGGCTTGGATGGCACCCCCAAACAAGTGGATACTAAAGTTTCGTTTGTGGATCCCATACGTATGTTTTAGTCCTAACTAAATTGGTCACATGGGGTCTATCGCTCACCGAATGCGTCACTTAGCTTGAGCAACATCACTTCTCACGCTTCTACTGCGGCCCCGTCATAGCACGTCTGGTTGACTTCGGTCATATCTCTTTAATGATATCTTGTTATGGATTATCATCTACTATAAATGTTATCTATTGTTTTTTTGTTTTTTTATGACATTGAATATTATGATGATTACTTCTCTAGGATTTGACGTGAATGGATTTGACCTAAAAGGAATAGAGGCAAGATTTGCCATATGTATAGAAAGATTAGTGTCATGTGATACTCGCTGGGTCCAATGGCTATTTGAGTAAAAAATTGTGGATGGTGATCTATGAATTGCCGTTCCAAAGAGGACATGGATCTCACCCACCCAACAAGGAACTCCCAAGTTGGTTGAGCTTGACCTTTGTTTAGAAGGGGAAGGTCATGACTCCAATAAGTAAGTCAAAGTTGGTATAACCTTAACCTAGATTAAGTTACGAGCCAAGTATGTAAGTTAGATGACTAAAGTAATGAGAGCATAATGGCCGTGTTTGGAAAACAGCATTTGGGATAGCTTTTGGCATCTTTGACTGACTTTGGCTTTTTTGACCAAGCGAACCGCCAAAACCATTGTTTGGCTAATGGCTTTTTCACTTGGCATTTTGATCTGAAAAGCCAAAATTTGAAATGCCAAGGTGAGTAGCATTTGGACTTGGCGGTTAGGAAAAATATTTTTTTTAAAATCATTTTTGTTGAAAGATATTTTATAATATATGTAAAAAATAAAAATAAAAGTTAAAAAAATTAAATACGAAAAAATAAAATGAAATTAAAAAAAAATTATATTTATAATTCATTAAAAAAATTTATATTTATAATTTAATATGAATTAAATGAAATTAAAATTTAATATTCCATATAGTAAAGATTTAATTTTTACATGTAAAAAAATGAAAAATAAATATCATATATATATATATATAAATTTTTATTTAATTTTTTTAATTTAAAAAATATATATTTATGATATAATATTTAAAAAAAATTGTAAAATAAAATATACCATAAATGGAGGAATGTCCTTTTATGTAATTTTATTTACAAATTGCTAACTATAAACAACTAAAGTTGCCAAACACTTAAAATTTAACTGCTAACAGAAACAGCCGGTCAAAACAGCTAACTCAATCAGCCATTCAAATCAGCTAACATAAACAGCCAACAACCAACTGTCAACTGCTAGTATCCAAACAAGGCCAATATCCTATGTTAGTGATATTGTTTATGAATTGAATTGTTATGCTGATATTTGTGATGAACTTGTATGCATGATATCATGTGATGTTATGAAATAGTAAGATTGTATATATGTATAACTGAATTTTAGATACATGTAGCGTTTGTTCTTTTACTACACGAAGGTAATCAAGATCACGACAAACCTAGAACAATTCTCGGAGTACTTTGAGGGCAAAGAGATGTGCGTGCACGTGTTCAAAGATTTTTAAATTATTATTTGCTGTTTAAAAACATAATACTTTTATGGGTTCAAATCCCAGGTTTTGTTTTGATAATGACTTGAGCTTTCGCATAGTTTTTAATTACTCCGATGAATGTTTGAAATTATATCTTGAAGTACTTATTTTAAATTGTTTTGAAAATGAGTTGTGTTTGGACATCAATTTGATAGCAACCTGGTTTGTTGACTTGGGTATTCGGATTATGCGGGTTGGAGTGTTACGACTGCAAATTCTAAGTGTGGGAGGGAGCGTTTATCTTTTGGTTTTGACACCCCCTAGACCAAATTGTTAGACAATGTGCGTAACTCTAGAGGGGGGGTGAATATAGTTGTTGGGAATGTTTAACGTTATTCGTAGCGTGTGTGTGTAAATACAATTTCACTCTAGAGCAGTTTTAGAGTTCCTCCAAGTAGCTTAAGCATTTATTTACAACATCTCTTCATATTCAAGTTTATACAAACAACAATCTCAGCTTATTATGTTTGTTCAATGCATATCAAGATTATGTTTAAAACATAATAAGAAAGATAACAACAACTAAATAAATCATCATGTAATTCGGATAGTGGCCTAGCATAGGGTGTAAACACCTTCCACTTACCGTCATGTAGCACTCAAGGTCCTGGAGCCAATCCGTGACTTAAATTAGAACAAACAACATGAAAAAGGGGTCAGTTATGGTCTGTCACAGTACTTGTGATTTGAAGATGTTGGTCATTTCTCGCTGGTAAGTTGAACCGCTACCATCATACGTCGGGAAAATACAGAAATAGCAAAATACAATCCAATTTCAAACCATTCAATATGTATAATATTTTTAGAGACTATTGATACCCAAACCATGCAAATTGGAGTAGGAAAACATTTCTAGCCATCTTCGATCAATCAATAAAGTCCAAAAACATTTTATTTAATTAATTCATATTCGAACAACCATAATTAGATAAATCACATAAATGAATCTACGATTGGCTATGCATACGAATTAACGCTATCGATCTATGATTTCTACACTGGATAAACCTACGAACTCACCTTGATTCAATAGAGAAGACGAGTTTATAATTTGATTTTGTTTGACAAAATTGTGGCAAGGAACTTCCAGCTGAGTTTATTTGGGTTTTTGACTAATTGTATTTGAATTAGGAATATAGTTTCATACGTATTATTATTAAATTACTCCCTCCATCCCAAATTATTTGTCACATTTGTTTTTTCAACAGTCGCAGAAACTTTTGTTTATTTCTGCGTTTTCATTGGTTATTTGATAAAATAAATTATTCTTGACACTTCTTATTTCGAAGAATTTTTCATGTAGTTTTTTTATATGTAATTTTGATTTTTTATTTCTTTACCAATAAGTAAATAAAATGAATTGAAAAAAACTTGATATTTTGCTTCGGTAATAGAAATGTGACAAATAATTTGAGACGGAGGGAATATATTATTATAAATTCTTTATATTTATTTACTGAATTGTAATATCTATTTTGTTTATAACTTTTTACACAAAAGTCCAAACTTAAAAAATTATATGTCTATCCGAGTACCTAATTTTTAGATGAAAAGGCTGATTTCATAAATAGTTCATATTTTTATATCAAAAAAAGAGAATAAAATATTATATTTATTTTTAGAGAGATGCTAGGGGTATACCTTTGGTGTACCCAAATGTACACCACATGCTTCCTCACCATCCATTTTTATTTGATTTTTATCTATTTATTTTTTTTTGAATTTACTTGCCAATTTTTGTGGTGAAAGTTCAAGGCTAACTACGGTAGAAAACCAGAGCCGCAAGAGAGAGAATTCGAGAAAGGGCAAGAAAGGGTTCCGGCCGGAGAAATGCCCATCGCCGGTGTTTGCCGGCAAGTAGAGGTGCACCGACCACGGAATCAAAGAGAGGGCGAGGTGTGCTACACGCCGAGCTGCCTCACATCTCCTGAATGATCAACCTTGGACCTTAATATTCTCGTTTTCTGTAGGTATAATCTCGAATTCAATGTTTTTAGGCTCTACAATTTTAGATTTTGAGTTTTAAATGTTCAATCGCATGTTTGTTAGCCTAAATTTGCAATTTCGAATCTAAATGAGCTTTGCCGTAGATCTGCGTTATTTCTAAGCCTGTCTACTGTGATTGCTTCGATTAATTGACTTGTGATAATCCAACCTGAGATTTATTACTCGTGTGATGCAAAAATTGACCAATGAATGCCCAAACCCTTGCTTTTTTCGTGTTCATTGTGACATGAGAGAGTAAAGTTCTAAACCTTGGTTATGTTTGCGAATCTCTGAATCGTTGAAGCTAGTTTTTTGTTATATTCTGTTTAAACCTAGGGGTTGAGTGTTAGATTTGCATGAATTTTAAGATGGTTGAGACTCTTTGGTTTGTTAAGATTAAAGGAACTTGTTAGACCTCTCCATTACTGGTAATCTATTATTCCGAGGGTACATCATTGTTAAGGAAGAATATAATAGGTACTAACTAACAGTGAGTTGAAATCAACTAGTCATTAGTTTCTATTTGCTAGCCTTCTAATATTATTCCATTATATGATCCTGCTAGTAGGATTGCAGTGGAATCTTGGGTATACTAGTCAAGGTTGAATGCTCCATGTGTGGTTAAAGATCTACACAGGTCTAGAGATTGTCATAGAGGGTAGGGTGAGTGTTTGGGGCTGGTTTCAGAACTAACTAATATGTATGGACTAGTGGGTGATGAAAATCACCAACTCAAGTTGCTCTTGTGTTTAAAATGGTTTTTGCTAATGATTCACCAATTTGATTGACATGATTTCACAACTTAACCAAGGTGTTTTTTTCCACATTAAGAACCAGTTTTACTTTTGTAACACCCCAACCCGCATAACCCGAACAAACAAGTTAGTGAACTCGGTTGCTACTAAATTAATATCAACATACAATATTTTCCAATACTCCCCGGGATGGATACCAAATCAATCCTTTCACAACCACCTACGTGTAACAAAGAGAAAAAAGAGGCTACACGCTTAGTAATGAAGCTGAGTGAGAAATATCTAATAGTTTGAACATATATACACATAGGCGAATCCACTAGTTCATAAGTATCACATGATATCATGCAACATATCATAGATAACATCACAGACAATATATAACAATGTTCAACATTAAAAAACATAGAATATTACCTTTTCGTTCACCTGCTTTGATCTTTTTACTAGCCTCATAACCTATGCTAGGTTAAGACTTATACTAACTCTGATTCTGTCTACTTACCGGGCACATAACCTAATCTAGATTAAGGCTTACCTTATTTATTTTTCTACGAGAGTCATGACCTTCCCCTTCGGAACAAAGGCCTCCTCGTTGGGTGGGTGAGACCCCTGGCCCCTGCAGAACGACAGTTCATGGATCCCACGTGCGCACGTCTTAACCTGAATAGCCATTGGACCCAGCACGTACCACATGGCTCTAACATACTATACTTATGACATACCTTGCCACTAATCCATTTAGGTCATTTCCTAGAGTTCTTCTATGTGATATATATCCAACAATCATTAACCAATACATAATACAACATTCATGAATCCTCAATGCATTTAGTAAGATATTCAACATAACCAAATAGCGGCCTAACACTGGGTGTAACCACCCATGTTTATCGTAATGCAACACACGACGAAGTCTTGGAATCAATCCCTGACAAAAACACAGATCAACAGAGCAGAATCAAGTACCTGACGATACCCTTCATGGTACAGGGTACCGTCCTTATGGTACCTGGGTACCGGCCCTACGGTACAAGGGTACCGTCCGAACCAACTGGACTCTCCCAGTAGGACTGTAACGGTTGCCGACTACTGACCGGGTGGTAGGGCCTACCATCCGTGTGATACCTAGGTACGAACGATCACAGCTACCGGTAAAGGAGACAAGTTGCTGAGATGAACTTAGAGCTGGGCGCAAAAAAGTTGCTGAGATAGGTGCAAGGTGGTTACGTAGTGACAAGGAAGGATAGGGGGACCGAGTGGGGCAGGTTTCCTCGAGTGGCACTACCCTACAAAATGGTGAGGAAGTTCAAGGTTCAATAGCCAAACGGAAGAGATGGGCTAACCAAGAAATGATCGTGGAGGTGAATGCTTCAGTGCTGGAGAGTGCACATATGTTACCAACGGAGGGTCCTGGTCTCCAGGCCTGCCGAGACCAATGAGTCTCCTAAGTTGGAACTGTCGCGGGTTGGGCAACCGCTGGACAGTGCAGGAACTGGTAGATTTGGTATCTACTAAAAGGCCCCACTTGGTCTTTCTCATGGAGACTAAGTGTGTTAGAAAGAAAGTAGAGTATGTTATAGATAAGTTGGGGTTTGACTCTGTGCTTGCAGTTGATAGCTCTGGAAGAAGTGGCAGACTTGCTCTTTTCTGGAATAGAGAGAGCAAAGTGAGCTTGATATCTTACTCAAGGAATCATGTTGATGTCAATGTGTTGAACAAATGTAATGGGCCATGGAGATTTACAGGCTTTTACGCTCATCCCAGATGGAGCCAAAGGTTAGATTCTTGGAACCTACTTAAGAGCCTGAAAAGTGGGTCCACGCTTCCCTGGATGGTCATGGGTGATTTTAATGACATATGCGCTGCGATGGAAAAGAAGGGAGGTAATCCCAGACCTCCTTGCTTTATTGATGGTTTTAACGAAGCCTTATCTTTTTGTGAGTTGATGGACCTTGGTATGAGTAGCTATCCCTTTACTTGGGAATGGAGGAAGAATACCCCGGATTGGGTGGAGGAACGTCTTGATAGAGCCGTGGCAACACATAGGTGGAGATCACTTTTTCCTGGCTTCTCGTTGTATAATGTTATGACTACCTGGTCGGATCATTCAGCTCTTCTCCTTTCATTCAACGGTGTCATTGAGGACGGTAGGTCCAGAAGCTTCAGATTTGAGAATTGTTGGCTCAAAGATTAAGGTTTCAAAAAAGCGTTTGAGGATGCCTGGAGCAGATGGGAAGGGTCGCCTTTTCTTGACCGCCTCAATCATTGTGGACAGGAGCTGAAACGATGGGGAGGTGTCAGATTAAACAATTTTGGGAAGAAGATTGATTCGTGTCAGATGAAACTTGAGGCTATGTGCGGCTGTAGAGATTTGGTTTCAATTGTTGTAAGAAAGCAAGTTGAAAAAACCTTGAGGGAGACGTTGAAATGGGAGGATTGCTATTGGAGACAACGCGCCAAACAGTTTTGGGTCTCCTGTGGTGATCGAAACACGAAATTTTTTCACAATTATGCTTCACATCGGAAGAGGAAGAACCACATATTACGACTTCGCGACAGTATGGGAGGTTGGTGTGAAGGGAGAAGGCTATTGCCCTTTGTTTATAATTATTTTGCAGATTTTTTCAAAGATAATAATAGGAGGGGACGACACGGCGTTATGGACATGTAGTGTGCAGAGGTGGATCATGCACGTGTTCGGGAGGATCAAAATGCAGAGCTCCAACGCCCATTTACTCTGAAGGAGATCGAGGAGGCACTTTTTTCCATGCATCTGGACAAATCCCCAGGACCGGATGGGCTCAACCCAGCTTTCTTTCAAAACTACTGGAAGGAGGTGGGCTTAGAGTTATCTAACTTTGTTTTTGATTGTCTTTTCAGGAAGGTTATCCCAGAAGGCCTTGGAGATGCTACCTTTGTTCTGATCCCTAAAAAGCACTGTCCCGAAAATGTGGGAGATCTGAGGCCAATAGCTCTTTGCTACATAATCTATAAGATAATTGAAAAGATCTTGGCGAATAGAATGAAGCCTGTATTGCAGAGTTTGATCTCGGATAACCAGTCAGCTTTCTTACCTGGGAGACTCATATCTGACAACAGCCTCCTTGCTGCGGAAATTGGTCATTATCTTCGAAGGAAACAAGTAGGCAAAGCTGGATGGGTAGGGCTGAAGCTTGACATGGCCAAAGCATATGATAGGGGGTCTTGGATTTTTTTGGAGACCATGATGCGTACGTTGGGTTTTAGCGAAGCTTGGATTCAACTCATAATGATGTGTGTGAAATCGGTTAGATATCATGTTCTTGTCAATGGAGCTCTCAGTGAAGTTATCTCTCCGACGCGAGGCTGAGACAAGGGGATCCCTTGAGTCCTTATCTTTTTCTGATATGTGCGGAAGGACTTTCACCCTTACTTAAGAAGGCGGAGGCAGAGAGGAGGGTTCATGGGGTTAGGGTGGCCAATGGAGCCCCATTTCACATTTGTTTTTTGCGGATGATAGCCTACTCCTTTTTTAAGCATCCATGGAGGAGGCCCGCGTGGTGAAGCAATGTTTGGAGGAATATGAGTTAGCCTCGGGACAACAAGTGAACTTCTGTAAGTCAACGGTCTGCTTTAGCCTTAATACTTTCCATGAGGTTAACGAGGAAATTAGCCGCTTTTTTGGTGTTACTCTAGCAGATGACTTTGGGAAATATTTAGGTCTCCCTTCATGCATTGGTAGAAATAAAAACGTGGTCTTTTCATTTATTCTGGACAAGATCCGTCATCTTATTTGTGGATGGAATAAACGTTTGCTCTCAAAAGCCGGAAAGGAGATCTTACTAAAAACAGTGGCCCACGCAATGCCACAATATGCTATGAGTGTGTTCCTCCTGCCCATTGGGGTCTGCCAGAAGATTGAAAGAATTATGAACTAGTTTTGGTGGCGAAATAGTGGCGATGGTTCCTCTAATATTCATTGGTTGTCGTGGAGGCGTTTGACAAGTCCAAAAAAGTTCGGGGGATTTGTTTTAAGGCTATCCATGACTTTAATTTTGCCATGTTGGGCAAGCAAGGGTGGAAGTTTTTAACAAATTTGGGGTCATGAACAACTAAGATTTTCAGGGCAAGATACTTTCCGAAGACGTCTTTTTTAGAGGCAAAGATTGGACCTAACCCAAGCTTTGTTTGGAGGAGTATTTTGGATGCCCAACATCTCATTAAAGATGCAGGTAGAAAAAGAATTGAGAACGGGGGTGATACCCTTGTTTGGAGTCACGCATGGTTATGGGACAAATCGAGCCCGTCTATATCTACTCCCCGACCAGATTTTTTCCCAGCTTTTCCAGTCTCGTTTCTCATTGATCACTCCACTAACACTTGGAAATTGGATATGTTGCAGCACTGGTTTTCTGAAGATGATAGAGCCCGAATTCTTCAGGTCCCGATATCGTCAGCGCTTACAGACCAATGGTACTGGGCGTTGGATTCGTTTGGGGATTATACTGTTAAAAGTGCGTATAGGAAGCTTACTGGGGAGGCACCAAACACATCCTATTTTAACCATTGGAGCAGGTTGTGGAAGCTGAATGTGGCTCCTAAAGTCAAGTTTGTTTTTGGAGGGCCCTTTGGGATATTTTTCCGGTTGCATGTTCACTGGAGAGTAAAGGAATACAGTTAGATCCTCTGTGTCGTAGCTGTGGTTCTGCTGAGGAGAGTGTTACTCATGTCTTCGTGGCATGCCCGGTCGAGCAAATACTGGCGGGTGCTGGGAGTCAAGGTTGTCAATAACCATGGCCATTGTTTTGATTCGCTACTGCACTGGGCAGATTTTAACTTTTGCAGCAGGGGCTGAAGGGAAATGGACTGTGTGGCGGCGGGGATCTGGGCACTGTGGAAGGCGAGGAACATGGCCAATTGGGAGAGTAAGCTGCTGACCGTGGGTATCATCGAGGCCTGGACCAGAGAGGCTTTGGCCTCAACGCCATCACACTGTTTGGGGTCGAAGGCACCTGTGGCGGAGTCTAGAATCAGCGGCATTACGTGCTCGGTGGATGCAGTTGTGTTCGAGAATGTTCGGCGGGTGGGAGTCGGTGCAATCATTCGAGGTGAAGATAACTCTTTTATTGGAGCTTTCAACTCTTTCATTAACTGTCCTTTAGAGCCACAAACTGCGGAAACCATGGCAATTAAAGATGCTTTGTCTTGGATTAAAGAGCATGGCTTCTCGGAGGTTAGTGTTCTGTCTGACTTGTTTATTAAAGCACTCAATAATCCATCAAGTAGAAACACCTCGTATTTGGGTGCCGTTGAGGATGAATGTAGATCTTTGGCTAGCTTTATTATTCTTTGAGGTTTTTTTACATTCCTAGAACTTCGAACTGTATTGCTCATTCTCTTGCTAGAGAGGCGGGGAGAGGACTAATGAGTGGTGGAATTCTCCCCTGACTTTGTTTCTCATTTGATTTGATGAATGAATGTGTCTTTTACCTAAAAAAATTGTCATAAATAAATAATTCTAATTTATTTCATTAGAGATTAACTTCTAGACCGGTTTCTAGGGCATTACAACTTTAGTGTTGTGTTTACTGTTTTGCCTTGTTAAACCCTCTTTGATTTCGGTTTACACTTCCCTTGTTTTAGTTTCTTGTAGTTTGTTTATTTGATTTTGAAAACCAAACCAAACACCCTTCTCGCAAATGTTTTGTGTTTTTTTATTAGTCGTCTATCAAGCTAGGAACATTTAATAATCAGTCTTCATGTGGATTCAACCCTACTTGCCACTAAATTACCTTTATATTTAGTGTACTATTGGTGGTACTTAGGTACTAAATTTGTTTTACACCTTGACAAAGTTATAACACATGTGGTTGAAGAAGCTACTTGGGAGACCTAAGAGTCAAAGAGAGTTTAGTATCCTCATCTTTTTTATGACAATAATTTAGTTAATTTTGAGGAAAAAATTATTTTAAGTGGGGAGAAATGTAATTCCCCAAAGCCTAGCTTAGTATAATAATTTAATTTAAATAATTAATTAATTAATACCTAGGTTGGTCTTGTATAGATTTATTTGAAAATTGGATTTTTAATTGAGGAAATTATTCTATTTTGTAAAGCTTGCTTACCTAAACTTGATAATGTAAACAACTCAGAATTTAGAGTTATTGGGCCCGAGGTACGACTAAGAACCCAGTAATTAGGCTTTCTACCAATTCTAGTTAAATTATATAACTGGAAGTGACCCTAGATCTTATTTATATGTATTAACTCACACACGCTTCATATTCTTTTCCCATAACTCCTTCATCAATTTTCCTCTCTACGACTCGCCTTTGTCCACCATTGTCGTCGCCCTTCTTCTTTCTTTTCTTTCACACGCAGACAAAGCAGCGAGGATGGATGGTGACCAGGAGCAACGACCAGCGAGGAGGATTTTGTGGTGCTAATTGACATCTTCGTCGTGCTTGATTCATAGGGTGTATTCGTCTATTAATGCAGGTGAGTCGTGGTTCATACGTCTATGGTTACGATTAATTTGTAGATTAGAACTTCATTGACGTATTTTCTTGCAATTGAATGTGAATTGGTTGATAGATCGTTGGAATCAGGTTGAAGCATGTCTAGGGTCTTATTTAGTGTTCATTTCTTGTTCACTTTTGCTTCTTTGTGTTATTATGTTCATGATGTTGGTGTCCAACAGTGGCAACGGGCGGCTAGGTAATGGATCGAGGTGGTCTAGCATTGCCAGGGGGTTCCGATAAGGGGGCTGGGCTGTCCCAGCGAGGACAATAAGCCTGGGGTTGATACTTCAATATCAAATTTGTATTATCATCACTTGACAGGTAATTTGAATCAATTGTAATTTTGTTATATTACGTTGATTATGCATGGCTATTGGGTCCCTAATAAGCCGCTATTTGATATGATTATTTTCTTGAATCGTGACAAAAGTTGAATGGAGCTTATTTGTGATATATTATGAATTATGAGTTGAGAATTGAGGAATAAAACACCTAGTATTCCTAGGTGAATTTGGACTTAATTGAGTGTTGAATCACCAATAGGACTTGTTAGGAATCTGGCCATGTGAGGTATGAGTGCATACTCAATGACCTAGGGTTAAAAACGTATGTATAGAAATCTGCGACCTACCATAGAACCCCCATGGAAGGGGCTTGAACCCGCCCTTTGGAGACCTCCATTGGGTTTGAGCTTTGCCCTGGAAACCTCTTAAGTGTCCATGACTCTAGTGGATTGATTTAGCTTTTGGCATCATAGGTTAAGAAGATTAATGGTAAGTGATATTGCTATTAATCATGACGTGGAATGATGATGTTACTTGTTTGTATGATACTATAAGGATGTATGTGAATGTGGTGCTACTCTATGAATTAATTCTAGCGTTAATATATATTCTCACTCATCAACTTTCAGTTGAGCGTGTAGTCTTTGTTGTCTTTGACTGCACGTAGGTAAAAACAAATGAGTGGATGAGCAGCCTGGTAGTCAGTGATGCTTCGCGACATGGATGGCTTGCGACTATTAATTTAATTATTTTAATTTTTTATACCTATTTACTAAAACTACAAGAATGTCTTGGAATGTTGTTTCAAAGGCTTCCACACTATTTTAATTTACTACTTCGCTTAGACATTGAATTGTTGAAAGATTGAACTTTTACTCAAATTTTTTTAAGTGTTTTAAATTATTTGGATTATGGATACCAATTTGGTGACAACTCAATTCGTTAAATCATTGTTCAGGTTTCACAGGTTGGGGTGTTATATGCAGGGTAGTTGGAATAGGCTCCATCAGGTTGAAGACTCATAATGGTACACTTTGCAACTCGAGTGAAGTTAGGCATAATCCTTTTTTGACAAAGAATCTCATATCTTTGGCTCATCTTGATCGTAAGGGTTTCAATTTCCAAGGTATAGTAAAGGTGAAGTTACAAGTGTCTAGAAGGATTCGAAGGTGGTCCTGAAATGTATTAAAAGGGGTACCTTACATCTTTTACAGGGTTCTAATTTGGCCAGTTCCATTGCTGTTGCACCATTTGAGATTCATAGAGGTAATGAAAGTCTTGATGTAAACGAAGAGGTTCCATCTGCGGAGATTGAGACTATTGATCACCTAGAAGAAGCATCTATTTCTGCGCCTAGTGACGGTGATCAGCGCCCCGAGAGGGGGCGATTTGGCTTCAGGTGAAGCCATCTGGGACACTATGTTAGCTTTATTTGTTTTGTTCATTCTATGAAGAGTCAACTCTAGGTATAGTTTGATTCCATTGGTCTTTCAGCTTGAGTTATCGGTCGCAAGGCGTGAGGGAAATCTATTCTGAACTCAAGTAAAATAATCTGTTTCTGTTCCTATTTTGGTGACATCTGTGTCCTTGGTTGAACTTTTGATACCTACGGTACATCTAGTGACTTCTCGAGGAAATCTAGTATCTCTGCGCATCTAATTTCGGTGCATCAGTTGTATTATGAGAGGATTCCAAGTCAAAGTGGATATTTGTTACAAAATACCTTAAATCTATTTTCTAGAGCTATCACGATTAGGACTAGGGTTAAGATTAGAATTATCTTTCATATCCTCATCTCTATATATGTATTTTTGTAGGATTGGGATTAGAATCTATAATCTGGTGACAAAATTTTGGTCAATAAAGTATTTCCTTTCAGTCCATGGAGGTTACCAACAGACTATTAGTAAACCCCGTTAAATATCTGTCTTTCACGTGATTGTCGATTCTTAACGTTCAAATTTTTTCAAATGTGTAATTACACATATTTTTCTTCATAGGTACTCTTTCCTTTCACTAAAACCATTCCTCTTTCATTTATTTTGTTTTCACCAAAATACTTCTTTTTTATTAAAATGACTAATATATCCAAATAAAGACACTACAACATGCTCTATCCATTTTGCATATTGATATAACAAGTTATTTAAGTAATTTGTTTTTTTCTTTTTCGATGTTAATGATTTAATCAAAAAATTAACTTGCATAAAAGTCAAAATTGAAATTGTTTTGGTGTACATAGGGGTGTAAACGGATAATATCCGTTTCGGATGTATTAAAACCGTATCCGAATCCGATTAGCAAAACCGTTATCCGAATCCGCATCCGATGGAGCATCCGACTAGTAAAAAATCCGAATCCAAATCCGTTTCTAGATTCGATAAAACATCCGATTCATAAGGAAAAACCGTATCCGTATCTGAAAAAACATCCATCCGAATATGTAATATGAAAATCTAAAAATCTAAAATCAACCAAGAACAACCAAAATCTTTAAATCCTTAACCAAGTTTCTGAATCTACAAATCAAACAACAAAATGATTTGACTTTGCAACAACCGACAAAAATTGTAAAAAATGCGGGAAGGTGGGATTATTTCTGGTAAGAGTGAAAAGTATGATTATTTTTGAAAGAGCACTAAAATGTGGGATTATTTGAGATAATTTTTCCTAAAAATATTAATTAGTCTAAACTACGGATAATTTTTAACTACGGATAATTTTTTATTACCTATATTCGGTATAACGGATCGGATAATTGGATATGCGGATATATAAACGGATGTATACACGGATCGGATTTTAAACGGATCGGATCAGTAATTACCAAATCCGCATCCGTTTATCAATCGGATGTGCTTAATCGGATACGGATAATATCCGTTTAAAACGGATGCAGATTTTTTCCATTTAAACGAATACAGATGCGGACGGTAATCGGATTTTCGGTTATCCATTTACACCCCTAGGTGTACATAGGAGTTGCAAAAACAATGCAAGTGGGGGTGTTGACAGTTGGCATAATATGACTGTCAATTTAAGTTTGTATGATTTGGGTGAGGATGCATATACATACTACTAGCAAGCAGCTCGGATTGCGGCCCCCATGCGCACATGATCGACAAACACAAAAACCAACAACCTATAGCCAGCTGCCAGCCTGCACGCCAAAAAACGAGCGTACAAAAGCGAGGCTAGGCCGGGCATATATATCCTCCGAGTTTGTTAGTTATTAATTGGTTACGTTGTTGAAGTACAATTTGAATTGAAGATGAACTACTGGAAGTCTAAGGTTCTTCCCAAGATCAAGAAGGTATTCGATACTAAAGGCGGCGCTGTGAAGAAGGCTGCTGCTGCTGAGGCCTCTTCTGCCTTCGATGACTCTAAGGTACATATATATATATCCCATGTTTACTCTTTCCGTCAATTTTTGTTTTTGATTAAACCTCTCAAGAAACCAATTATTCAATCACAAACTGAAGCCTCTGGTTGTGACCCGGAAATGGTTGTTTGTACTCTAATGCACGTACTCCCTCACGTGCAGGCGTAGTCTTTTCCGAGCCTTGCACGTGAAATGGTTGTTATTAATTGATTTGTATGGTGTGTCTTCGTGATATGTAATAACGAAACAGGAACAGTATGCCAAAGAGTTGGAGGAGAAAAGGACGGAACTGGAGCCTAAAGTTTTTGAAATCTTTGAAGCTTCTTCCGCCCAGATAAAGGTATATTTAATAATTTACGAATTAGGACGGCGGGTTTCGCCCACTACTTTTTCCTTATTAACTGGATATATCATCATGAATTAATCTTATAAACTTTGTACTTCAATGAAGTCTTTGCAATAAAAAAAATTGTTTTATAGTCGTATTACTCTACTGGGAAATTTACTTAAATAGCACTAAAACAAAATAATGACTTTCCCTAAATAGTATTGTATGTGTTTTTTCCCAATGTAGCACTTTTAGTTATTATTGAAGTAAATGTTTGTCATCGCTAGACATTATTCCTTCTTCTGGACATTATTAAGTGTTATTTAAGGAATAAAACAGTTTAAGTGTTATTTAGGGAAACGATTAAGTTTAGTGTTATTTAGTGCAAATCTTTCAACTTTAAGTCACTCTTTTGGAAATTCTTTTAGAGGTCAAATTTTAAGTACGTACTATTAGCTAGTATTGTTATTATAATCTTCGTCTATCATCAAATTAAAGCCTCTTGGATGGACACCCACACACACACACACACACATCTATATGATCACACAGAATCCTCATCAGCTGCGCTCTTGAATTGGATATTATTAAAAAAAATAAAATAAACAGATATTGATAAAAGAACCAACAAAGAACATAGCTGGGCTCAAGAAGAACTCAGCAGCTGTTCAGAAATTCCTGGATGAGCTGGTCAAGATCGGTACGCATGTGTTTCATCTCTTTCTCTTTTGACATAAAATATTTTTCGTGTAAGTGGTGGATCATGCATGTCACTTCTTTTAATATAATCCTCACCACTTTCTAATAGAACTTACTTTTTTTTCCTACCCTGTCTATCAATATCATAACTTTTCACTAATAATTTATACTCCCTCCGTCCTATAAAGTGTTACCCATTTTGACTAAAGTTGAAATTAAAGGAGTGATAATTTTGTGTTGACTTTCCAAAAATACCCTTGATGTGATGGGTAAAAGTAGGATGTGATGTGTAGATTATTAAGAAAAAGGTATGATGTGATAGATAGGGTTTGAAAAAGTAAGGGGTAAAAGTGGTTTTTAATGGAAATAGATAAGGGATTGTGGGACGCAATTTTTTTGAAACGTGTAAATCTTTTTGGGACGGAGAGAGTATATTACTACATCTTACTTTTTCATATCACATCAAAGACAAAAATTGGAAAGTCAAGGATAAATATATACTCCCTCCGTCCCTAAATAAAGTTCCTCTTTCGTTTTTTCTTTGTCCCTAAATAAACTTCTCTTTTCTCTTAAAAAACATCTTTTACCCCTTACTTTTTCATACCATACCTATCACATCATACATTTTTACTAATAATCTACCTATCACATCTTAATTTAACACATCACATCAAGGGTATTTTTGGAAAGTCAACATCAAAATATCCCTTCCTTAAATCCTCAAAAAGTCAAAAATGAAACTTTATTTAGGGACGGAGGGAGTATTTCTTATTTTAGTTAAAAGTCAGAATATGAATAGTTTATTGAAACGAAAGGAGTATGTAAGTAAGAAGGTAGGATAATCAATTTAGAACGACTGAAAAGGAAAATAAGAAAGACCATCAACTTGGAACGAAAAAAGTAGATCTTCTAATTTCTAAAATTAAATTAAATACTCTTAAAGAGTTGTCCATGATCTAAAAGCCCACATATAAAATGTAGATGTTTTCACATTTTTCTACAGGCTGTCAAGTAGATTTTTTTTTAAATTTTTTTCGTAAATACTCAAATCTTTCATGACATTTATATGTTGAAGTCGATAAAATGAATGGGCATCACGTAAGAATTCGCCCTTGTTGTAATATTCCCTCCTTCCGTTCCCAAAAATACTTTCTCTTTTATTTTTTTTCACTTCCAACAAAACATTTTCATTTTCTATTAAAAAACAATTTTTCATTTTTACTTTTACTTTTTCATACCCTGCCTATCACATCATACTTTTTCTTTATTAATCGATCCACCACATCTTACTTTTACCCATCATATCATGAGCAAAATTGAAAGACAACTACAATTAATTTAACATTTCCTTATTTTTACACTTAGTCAAAATAAGAACTTTTTTTTAAGAGGGAGGGAGTAATACTTATATTGAAAACCGGAACTTTGAACTTTGAATTTTATTTTGCTCTAAAGATTACATGCAAGTCTTTTTCAATATTACGTCAAGTCTTTTTCAATATTACGTAATTGATTGATGTTATTCTATGTATCCAGGCCCGTCCTAAAGATTTTTAAGGTATGGGCTATAGAACCTAAATGGGCTTTTACAAAAATTATTACTACCTCCATTTGCAAAAATAGTTTCTATTTTGATTTTTATCATATTTAATTTCGTAATTTAATTTTTGAATTATATTTTTAATGTTGAAAAAAAAAGAGAGATAAATCATTTAAATAACTCATTAATCAATGCAAAATGAATGAAATATATTGTGACAACTTCATTTGGATATATTAGTCTTTCTTTTTTGTAAAATTGGAAATGTTTTAGTGAAAAAAATGAAAAAAGAACTATTTTCAAAGCATACGGAGTGGAATTTAAAATCTTTTATTATTTAAAATTTAAACTTAATATATACCAAAAGGTATATATTTTCAATACATATAATACTTTTGTTCCAAAAAATATTTTAACTCTCTTTTTTCATCCGCCACAAAAAAAACTACTTTCAAATAAAATCTTTCCTTTAGCTTATAAATCATTAGCCTACTATCACATCATTTTTAGAACTTATTCTTTAAAGTTTAAATTCTTAACTTCTAGTTTCTTTTAGTTTTTCTAATATCTTTTAGTGTTTCCAGTTCCGTTCCGTTTCTTCATGTTTCTTTCAGTTTCTTCTAGTTTTTTTCGTTTTTTACATTTTTCTTCTAGTTTTCCAACTATTTCAATTTTATTAAATGTTTTTCTACTTTCCAAATAATGACTCTAAAAATGATATGTTTTTCATGTATTATTATTATTATTACTATTCTAAAGTCCACAGGGTTTCAGAATAGTTGTCTTTCAAATAGTTGTCTTTCCAAATATCACCAATACCTCTTCTGTTTTCAAAACTTATTTCTAAAGTCCACAGGATTTCAGAATGTTGCACCCACACCCTCTACGATTATTTTGCACATCTTTATATATATATATATATATATATATATATATATATATATATATATATAAACAAACTGAAAAAATTTAAACATGCAAAAAAGGGTCTTGTAGAAAAAGAAATTTTCAAAACACCTAAAAAAAGCCTTAGAATTGGGATCTTAAAAAAGGATTCATTTTTATCTTTTGTTTTATTTTATATCTTATTTTATTCCTCATTTTTTGAAGTTTATAGAAAAAGTTTTTACTTTTTATTTCAGAAAACAAAAAATAAAAATTGTTAATACGAGACGTACATATGCAATATATGTTAATTACTCCCTTTGAAAATGTTCTTTCCATTTGACTTTTCTTAACCAATATTTGTAAATTTTGACTCTGATATATGAAAAAAAGTACATTGTATTATGATATAAATTTAATATCAATATATATTCTTATTGAAACATTGTTTTCATATATCAAATTTCTATAAAATATATCTATGTATAAATTAGATATTAATGGTCAATGTGTAAAATTCGAGACCGTGAAAAGTCAAATAAGAACAACATATCCAGATGGAGGGAGTATTTTTTTCAAACAAAACTAATTTTAAATTTTAAGAACATTAAAAAAAATTGAATTTAAATTTAAAAAATCCTTATTAATAAAAGAAACAAATAAAGGAAAAAGTGGGGAAACAAAAAATAAAAGAAACATGACATTAGCACTAGTGCCTCCTATGATTTGGAAAATAGACAGCAACACATCCTTCTTCACCGGAAAAAAATGGCCGGAAAATGATCAGAGGGTATGGGTGGATCGTTTTCAAACCACAAAAACTTTACAAATAAGTTTTGAGAATATAAAGGATATTAGTACTATTTTCTAAACCATTGAGGTACGGGTGCTATTTGGCCCCAATAACTATGTCCAAAATCAGTGCCAGCATCGAAAAATGAAAAAATGGAATTGGCTCGGTCCGAAGTTTTCATTTTAGGTCCTACTTTACTATTTTAGAATAGTTATGCTTCAAAATTAATAATGAATTTAAAAACATAGAGCCCTAAAATTTTAGGAACCCTGTGTAGTTGGTTACTTTGCATACCCTCCGGACCACTCATGTCCAAAATCTTATTAGTGTAAAATAAGACCGTCAATAAATGACTAAATGAATTAATAATGAAGATGTAAAATACTTCATATAGTTTGACTCTCTAAATAAGAAAATTAAAGTTTATTTAGAGAGAAATGGAGTATCCATTAACTAACCCGTGCTAATTTTTATGGATAATAATAACATGGTGAAGACTTTCCCGGATCAAAGCCGGTCAGCGAAGCAAGTTCAAAGTTAGGGCCGGCTTACGTGTCCGGTCCGGTGAAATTTATATTCGAGAAAGTTGCTGTGCTCATCCCGGAGGAGAAGAAGAAAGAAAATGATGGACTGCCAACAGAGGCAAAAGAAGATTCCGGCGACGCAAAAGCAGGAGAGGTAGTGGTTGAAGAAGGCTCAAAAGCGGTGGCCTCTCCACCGGTGGTGGAGTCCGCTCCGGCGACTGAACCAGCCGCCGCTGCCGCAGCTGAACCGCCAAAGGTGGAAGAGAAACAAGCAACGGTTGATGAACCAACAAAAGCATGATCTTTAATTTGGAAGGAAACTATTACAAATATACACACACATATTGGGTATATAGGTGCTTTTGTGGATAAAAAGAAAAATCGATATTCAATTTGTGCAGCGTGAGACGAAACTCAAGTTATTTTGTGTTGTGAATTATGATGCCATGTATTCCTTATATTTATTCGTGATTATTTACTCGTGTCTTTTTATGTATAATATAAATTTCATATAAATATACCTTGTTGCTTTGTGTTGAAAAATAGTGTATTTTTTCAGTTTTAGTACTCTCCATTTTAAAACTGATGGGATAAACGTATGCGAAAAACACACAATCACAAATCTACTGCAGAAAATAAACTATATATACGAGATATATGGGAAAAGGGCCAAACTAGGAATAAACATATATCATACTCCAAAATAAGAGTTCAAACTTAAACTGATCTAAATAGAAGTAATTAACTTAATTAATCTAATTAATCAGCTTGTCCAACATTTAAAAGAAAGAAACACAAATAAGGAAGAAATATTAGGAGAAAGTTGCGAACGTTTTGTTGAATGAAGCCAAAACGTTGCGGGTCAAAGATAACACTTCCATGATATTTCTAGATTTTGTAACTTCTCATGATAGGTGTATACACTTTCTTCTTCTATTTTTTTTGAAATATCTTAGTTATAAATACATTTGTGTATATATATGTGTGTATATATATATGTATATACAGAGAGAGAGAGAGACACACACATACGGAGTAGTTAATAAATTAAATTTGTTAGAGCAAGTCCATCTTTCAAACATTCTTGCTACATGTCGTAAATTAAATAAAAGAAAATGATGCAAAACAGAAAATGATAAATAATAATAATAATAATAATAATATTATTATTATTCTTAAAATTGAAAAAGAATAAACTTTAGAAACAAGTTAAATAGAAAACGGGGAAAGTAATACTTAATTATTAGACGTTGGAAAAATTATTTTTAAAATACATTGACAATTTCAATCTAATTATACTTTTAAAATATATTTTTATTGCTACTTGTAATTTGAGTTTCTAAAGTTTTGATCTTTTATAAGGATGAGATATTTTAATAAAAATACTTTCTCTTCTATATATTGATTATTTAAATTTAATTACTTTTTAATGTATATATAAATTAAATGTTTATTCTAATGTAAATATAAAGTAAGTATTAAAATATTAAATTAATATTCTAATTTCACACAAAAAATAATCATAAAATAAAAAATATTATTACATTATAATATTAATGATTATTTTAATATATGAATTAACTAACTTTATTTTATTAAAAAATAATCATAAAATAAAAATATTGATTATATTATAATATGAAGTATCATTACAATTTTCAAACGTTATTATAAAGTCAAATCAAATTATTGATTTGAATTTTAAATCAAATCATAATTAATCAGATCAGATCCAATCAGATCTGATCTGATTGGATCTGATTGGATCTGATCAGATCCAATCAGACCAGACCAGATCAGATCAGATCAGAACTACAAAAATCAGATTAGATCAGAAAAAATAAATTGAACGGAACGAAGCCTAAGTAGTCCTCGAACTTTTATAAGTTATCAAATAATACTCCCTCCATCCAAAAAAAACTTTTAGGTTTCAAAAAAATAGTGTCTCATAATCTCCTTCCTATTTCTATTAAAAAATCACTTTTACTCCTTACTTTTTCATATTCTACTTATCACATCATACCTTTTTTCTAATAATCAACACATCACATTCTACTTTTACTCATCACATCATGGGTATTTTTGAAAAGTCAACATAAAATTATCCTTCCATTATTTTGTCACATTAGTCAAATGTCCTTTTCTTTCAAAGACGGAGGGAGTAGAACATAATTAGTCCCTATTTTTTCATCTGTGTTCACGGGTTAAAAACTAGTGTCATGTAAACTGGGGGGAAGGTTTTAATAAAAAAATCAAACCAGGCTTGTAAATTTTTGAGAATACAAATTAGGTAGAGCAATGATATTTTTTACATCATACTTATAATATTAACAAATACTCCAAGTTACTAAGTTCTAAAAGCAAAATCTAGGAGCATTGGTTGTTGATTATATAGAAAACGACAAGGCGACGACTAGAAAAGTGACCGAGAGCTAAGAGAGGGAGAGAGAACATTTATGAAAATCAGGCTAGAAGAATGGCTTAATTGGCTGTTTTGCTTGGGCAAGCATTTGGACAACCTCCCTCATGGTGGGACGCTCCACACTGTGCTCTTCCACACACAGCATTGCAACAAACAACACTTGCATTGCTTCTTCCAATGGGACATTCTTTAGCCTCTCATCTATGATCTTCACCACCCCTTCCTTGCTCCTGTCTGTCTCCCGCTTCACCCACTGGACAATGTCCATCCCTTCCTCCCCGAAATCCCCAATCGGTTTTCGCCCCGTTATTAGCTCCAACAGCACCACCCCGAAGCTATACACGTCGCTCTTCTCATCCACCCTTAACGTGTACGCGTACTCTGCAATCCAATGTCAAACTTGGTTAAAGTGAATGAATTAATGTTCCCGTCTTCTCGACTAGAAATATACTCATAATAGTTAGTGTTAAATATGTTTTTAGTCCATGTAAAACACACAATTTTTGTTTTTGGCCTATATAAAAAGTTTTTTAAGACAGCACATTTATGTCATACTCAAATCAGACACAATTTTTCATTCCCTAAATTGTGTTCTTATTCATATTATATCTCCAAATCTCGAATTTCTTGGCAATATAGTATGCTCGTAATAAAATTATGGAGTACCTGGAGCAATGTAGAGCCCGCAATTGCAGACATGCACTCGGAGGCACCGTTGTCGTGCAAGAACTTGGCGAGGCCGAAATCAGCAATGTGTGCTTCATAGTCGGAGTCAAGCAGGATGTTGTTGGACTTGACGTCGCGGTGGATTATAAGAGGGGAGCAATCATGGTGCAAGTAAGCAAGGCCCTTTGCAGATTCTATGGCAATTTTCAGCCTGGTTTCCCATTTCAGAATCCCTCCACTCTTTCCATGGATGGCGTCTCCCAAGCTCCCATTAGGCATATACTCATAAACCAGCAAGTTTGTTTCCTCGTTGGAACAAAATGCCAGCAGCCTGACAATGTACCTGTGTCTTATCCTCCCTAACGTTTGAATCTCCGCGGCCTGGCCATTGTCGTGCGATCCTTTGCTGATTCCGAGTTTTTTCACCGCCACGTTCTCCCCATTCCCCATCGTTCCTCTGTACACCACCCCTGCTCCTCCTTGCCCAATTATATTGGTTTCCTTCAAGCATCCCAAGACTTCTTCGCTTCCGAATTCCAGTTTCTGGAATGCCGTTAGCTGCCATGACTTGGGATGATTTTCTCTCGCTTCCCTTGCCTTGATCACTGCAATTGAGGCGAAAACCACGGAGCCTAGAAGAAGCCCGACCGCGAATATCAGCTTATATTTTGCCGGGAAGTCTGATTTATGGCTTTGGGTTTTGAGATAGGAGTGCGACGCAGAGGAAGAAGAGTTGCAGAGAGTTAGACAGAGATGAGGGTTGCCGGCGAAAGAAGTGGAGTTGAAGAGCAAGTACTGCCCGGTTTCAGGGACTGAACCGGTGAAGTTATTGTGAGAAAAATCTGCACAAGTTAGGCTCTTCATGGATCCAATCTCTTCTGGAAGGAAATCTTCCAAGTGATTCCAAGAAACGTTGAGGAAATTCAGGATTCCAATTTGAGAGATTTGAACCGGGATAGAACCGGAGAGGAGATTCTTGCTTAAATCCAGGTAAGTCAGTGAGGGACAATTGCTGAGCTCCGGGGGAATGCTGCCGGAGAATTTGTTTCTGCTCAAATCCAACTTCAAGATTCCCCTGAGGTTACCGATTTCTGAAGGAATGCCACCTGAGATTCTGTTCCCACTAAGCAGGAGATTCTTCAAGCCGGAGAAGTTGCCAATGCTGGGCGGGAGATCACCCGAGAAGTCATTATTTGAGAGATTCAGGCCTTCCAGCTTGGGAGATGGTTTTATTTTCTCGAATGCAATTCTCCCTGTGAAGTGATTATCCTGCAGTTCAACCAGTGTGAGCTCCGGTAAGTACAGGAATGTATCCGGTATCTGACCGGTGAGGTAGTTCTGCCCCATCCTTACCCGGGACAGCGTCCGACACTGCCCGAGATCATCGGGCAAAGGCCCAAACAGAAAGTTATTCAGCAGAATCAAGATTCTCAATTTCTTTCCGTAGCAGAGAGACTTTGGGATTTCTCCTGTGAGTTTGTTGGTGGAGAGGTCGAGTTCCACGAGCTGACCGTTCTGCCCGAGCTTCGCGGGGATGAAGCCAGTGAAATTGTTCCGCCACAGATTCAAGGATTGCAAGTTGGGCAACTCCGCAATGGACTCTGGGATTTGGCCATGGAGATTGTTGATGAAAAGGTTCAAGATGGTGAGTTCTTGGAGAGAAGAGAATTCGGTCGGGATCTCCCCAGTTAGGTCGTTGTTCGAGATGTCTAGCGACTTCAAGCCAGCCAGTTTTCCCAACTGTGGAGGAATTGAGCCATTCAATTGATTGGTTTGCAAGAAGAGAGTGGTCAAGTTCTTAAGGTTTCCAAGCTCCACAGGAATTGGACCCTTCAAGCCACAGCTGGAAAGGTCCAAGTGAAGCAAATTGATGAGCTTACCAAACTCTTTTGGAATCCCTCCATCAAACTCATTGAAATAGCCAAGATGAAGCCACTTGAGGTTATAAAGATTCCCAAGCTCCCCGGGGATGACACCCCTTAAGTCATTCCCAGCCAGGGAGAGAAAGCCGAGGCGCTCTAGGCTTCCATAACCGGGAGGGATTTTCCCCGAAAAATAATTCCCACCCAAATCCAAATACTTCAGGCTCTTGAGCTGGGCAATGCCAACGGGGAGAGGGCAGGTAAAGTTGTTGTCGTAAGCAGCCAGAACTTCGAGTTGCGGGAGTGCTGAAAAATCCCAATCGAGGCATCCGCTGAAGAGATTGTCTGATATGTTCAGGAACTTCAGATTACGAAGCTGAGATATAGAAGGAGAAAGACGGCCCGAGAGGTTTAAGCTGGAAATGTCAAGAGAAACAACTGATTTGTTCTTGTCACAAGTCACGCCGGTCCAACCGTTGCATAGACGCTTGAAATTGGAGAGGTTCCAGGCTGAAAGAGTGTGATCTTGGGACTGAAAAAAACTCTGTTTTAAGGAAACAAGAAGAGCTGCTTGTTTCCTCACAGATATAGAGTGAGTGTGGTGAGATGAATTGAGGAAAACAAGGAAGAGGCAATGCAAGAAGAAGTGCATACTTGGTGAGTTCCAAAAACTGAGAACGGGCATTGAGATCATCCATCTCATTGCAAGAATAGTAAATAATAGCACTAGAAAGCTAAAGGAGCCCTTTCAATTCATCATCTTTAACTTTATCAAAAGATAAAACTAAATAAAGCGAAAGCAAAATAGTATATGCACCATAAAAGAAGCATTTAGGATTCCAACGAGATTGCTCTTGAGTATTCAATAATTTATGTGAAGCTAAAATACCTCTTGAGCATTCAATTTTTTTTCTTTTGAAATTTTGAAAAAACTTTTAAAGTAGTAAAGTGCACATCTTCAAATAATAGTGTCCATTTTCTTTCTCACTTTGGTTCTGCTTTAGTCTTGTAAAGCTGAGGGACTGAGGCATTGGTTGAGCCATGTTTGCTTTTCATTTTATTATATGTTCGAAAGAAAACTAAGGAGCCTGGGGGAAGACCGCTTACTTTAGAGTCCAGTTCAAGAAAAAGAAAAAGAAAAAGGGAAAAGCAAAAGCAAAGGGTCCCCTCGTTTTCTTTTTTGAATGGGAGCAGATTAAAGAGCCGATTGGGAACTTGAAGAGGGTATGAATGTATGATTTGGATTTGGTCGAGTAAAATTTGTTCCATATAGGACCTAAACATATGTGTTTTCCCTATATAGGACTTGTGTCTTTTTTTTCTTTTTTAGGAGTAAATTTAGAACACACACCCTAAAATGCCCCTTACCCACGTTTACCCATCACCCTTTTTATTAAATTTATTAAATGATAATGGTGAGCAATTAACTCCACATCCTTATCACTTTAGTAACCGTTACCCTATTTCCTCGCACACCAGTGTTACGGTTCCTTCCTTCACTCATGTCTCTGCCGCCTCTGGTTTGTTCCGTTAGTCTCTTCCTCTCGCCTCCTCTCTCACAATGTTTTCTTCACTACTGGTTTCTGTATCAAAATTTGCAGCGGGTTCCTCCACACCTCCGAACATCCACCTTCTCCTGCAATTTGATGGCGAATGGGATGGTAATGGTGTTTTTTCTTACGCATATGCTTATGAGGTTGACATTCCGATTCAGACCCATTATGAAGACTTTGTGGAACTGGTTCGTACTACGGTTCCGTCTTCTTATGAAAATTCTGTTTTCAATATCTCGTATATGTCTGAATCATCCTCAAGGCGTGTCGTCATTGAAGATGATGTGAGCCTTCTCGCCTACCTTCGTTTGAAGAGCACATATCCCTCTTTACGCGAATTCCCTTTGTGCGTGGAAGTATACCATTTCACAGAAATGGGCGTGTCTAATGGAGAATCAGTCCCTACCGAAGGTCTGCAGACATTACCAGGTTATGATTGTGAGGTAGACTCAACTACTCAGGAAGAAACTGATTCAGATGGCTCAATGCGTGATGTTCTAGGAAACGAAACCACTATCTGCGGAGACAACATCTCATCACGGTGTGATTTGTCTAAGGAGTCATTATTTGTCACCTATAATGTAGATGAGATTTCTACGCATAATGACCATGACAAAGAGTTGGTTTCATGGAATTCTATTGACTCCAATCCGTCTGGTTATGAGATGTCCTAGCAAGATATTAACTCATTGAAGGAGATGCACGTAACATCTCGGTTTGATCCAACTAGGATTGTCGTTGGTGCCATATACTCTAGCAAAATGGACCTCGATTATCATTTGAAGATGCTTGCAATTTCCGACTGTTTCCAGTACCGGACCAGAACTTCCAAAAAATCCGAGCTGCATGTTGTGTGTGTTGACTTCCCTCGTTGCCAATGGGCTGTTCGGGCTGTGTGTTTACCCGGCGTTGAGATGTTCCAGATTCGTAGGTGTGTACTACTGTTTTTAACATTTAGCGGAAAACTGTCCTATTCCCAGTTTTTTGGGGTGTTAATGTCCATGCCATTTTACTATGTCTTTCACCAATGTCATGCTACTGTTCTTTATATCCAACATACCTGAGGTGTTAATGTCCATGCCATCTTCTAGGTCTTTATTTCCCATATATTTACTGTCTAATGGGTGCATTTATGGTCTTTAACCAATGGGTTTTACTCCTACTATACTGGTCATTATATTAATGATTTGCGTAAAGTCTAAAAAAACAGGACTTTTAGGTCATTCAATAGCCAATCTATATATCACACCATAGTGCATTACTTGTAATCAAACCGAACACCCCCCATCATTTACGATTAACGTATAACTATAAGTGTCCTTTTTCACTATGCACGGTATTATCTACTCGCATGGACATTATATACTTTGTCAGTTCATTTTCCAATGTTATCTCAGTCAGTTAATGTCTGATACATGGATATTACATTATCTTTCTCTTCCATAATGTCCACATTGCATAATGTCTACACTATTAGATGCATATTATGAATAATGTCTACAAACCATACTTCTTACCAACCCTGGTTTAATTTGGTCTTTAATATCCTACAGGTACAATAGGGAACACCAATGCCCTATTGATGTTCGGCAAGGCAACACACGTCAGGCTACTTATCACATCGTTGCACAGTTAGTAAAACACAACTATTGTGATGCAACGACGAAGCCGTACCCTCCAAATTCTATTGTTACGGACACGCGGAGGGAACATGGGATCGCAATGACTTACAAGAAGGCATGGTTTGCTAAAGAGAAGGCATTGAAAATTTGCTTTGGGACACCCGAGGAATCATATGCTGCTTTGCCCTCAATGTGTTACATGCTCAAACAGGCTAATCCGGGGTCTTTGATCCAACTCACCACGACCCCAGATCACTTGTTCAAGTATCTTTTTATCTCACTCGCAGCTTGGAGAGAAGGTTGGCCCCATTGTGTCCCTGTCCTAATTATTGATGGGTCCTTTATGAAATCATATTATAAGGGGACACTTTTAACAGCAGTTGCACGTGATGGGAATAATCAGATTTTTCCACTAGCATTTGGCATATGCGACGCTGAAAACGATGCGAATTGGCACTGGTTTCTCTCAAGAGTAAAACAAGCCCTCAAACACCGTCTAGTGGAGTATATAGTCTCGGACAGGCATGAAGGCATTATTAAGGCTGTGAAATCGGTTTTTCCAAAAGCGGGTCATGGCCATTGCATATTCCACATTCTCGGGAATATCAAGTCCAATTTTAATGGCTCCGAGAAGTCTTTATCCTGGAAATTTTATGCTGCCGCAAGGGCAGCTTCTGAAGTTGAATGTGAGCGATTTTTGAATTATCTCGGCAGTGATGACCCTAGGATCATTGGATACCTCAAAGCAATTGGCAAAGATAAGTGGGCAAGATCTTGCTCGAATAACCGTTATTCCATAATGACTTCCAACCTAGCCGAGTCTATGAACAATGTTGACGCTGTCCCACGTGAATATCCGATTACACAACTGGTTGACTTTCTAGTGGGCAGGATGCAAGTTTGGTTCCACAAGCGTAGAGAATTGGCCAACGCAACCTCATCTATACTGACAAAGTTCTACGAGGCGGAACTTAAGGAACTACATGCGGCTTCAAGTGTTATGGAAGTAAGTACGTTTGAAATAAATTTCACACGCACCTACATTCTTGGTCATCCACTCTAAAAAATTTGAGCAATTCACCTAAATAGGACTAAAACATAATGACTTTCCCAATATAGGACCATATGTTTTTATTTCCCAATGTAAAAGTTTTGGTCTTTATCAAGTACTCATTATTCAAGTAAATGTCCACCATTACTGGACATTATTCCTCCGACTAGGTCATTATCAAGTCCTTTTTAGGGAATAAATAAATTTGGGCTCTACCTTGAGAAAGTCTTTATGTTTAGTCCTAATTGATGCAAAGTTTACTTTTTCACATCATTGCCTTACATTAATATGTGGTCATTATATTATTCACTATAATCACAATAACAACATCACACGTAATCCCTTAAAATGTGGTCATCACGTGTCATTACACGTAATGACTATTTTTGCAAAACCCAAGTCATTATACGAATTCTGCAAAATCTGGTCAACACGTGCTATTATACATGTCATTATAAATACAACCCATTGTCTAAATTCCCCTCCATTCGACTTTGTTTAATGTAACGCATAAACTACTTTCGCAGTCATTAAGAACCTAAACTCATGTCATTAATTTTTTGCAGGTTAGACCAGCTTGTGCATTTGAGTTCCTTTTTTTGACAAGAACTACCGGTAGTTTGTTGTGAATTTTTAGAATCGTACATGTACCTGCTGCGAATTCCAATTGGACCATTTTGTATGTGTTCATGCAGTCGCTGCTACTCGTTGTCGACATGGACTGTCATGCTACGACTACATCTCATCATTCTACACCACTGCTTCTTGGAGAGCTACGTATAGTGGAATCATACACCCAATCCCTTCCAAAGATTCGTGGGTTGTACCTGATGAGGTTGCTGAAACTATTTGCAGACCACCATCGTGCTCCAAACGACCTCCAGGGAGACCAAAAAAGCGAAGGATCCCGTCGAAAGGTGAACATGCGAAGCGGCAAACCTGCTCACGATGCAAATCATCAGGACATAATAGAAAAACTTGTGGGAATCCCATTTCCTCAAATCGTGTTTGACTCCCGTAGGAAGACGTATGGGAAGCACAACATTCCATGGAACCTTGGTCCAGCATGTCCATTAGTTTTGTCCCATTTCTGGTTCATTTTGTTTTTTACATGTTCAGGGATTCATTTTTGGTTCATTTAGTTTGTCTTATTTTATTTCTTTCTGATACTGAATTTGTCATTGGGAAACAATTCATTCCCCACCACCATAATCATTTCACACACAATAATGACTAAACAGGTCACAAGTGCAAAAAAATACACCATGTTTACCACCCTGCGTAGCATCCTAAACAAACCAGATCCAAACATATACCACTAGAAAACCACCTTATCTCCTCAACTTTTCAGATTCATTATCTTATCTTAGAATTCTACTACAAAAATAACCTAACACATTAAGTTCCATTTAGTACACAAACTGCCCAGTATAAAAAAAACTCAAACCAATAAACATCATTCTTCCAGTGTAACTAATTGTATCAAAATAACAGCCATCGCTACTGTCTCAAAAAAATAGTGCATAGAATTCATTATACCTAAACATTGCTGCAAAAAAACATTAAAAGAGTGCATGTTTGTCTCATTCCAAACGCAGACCATGAGTCCTACTTCCCGGAGTAGGCCAACAGCTCTGTTGTCATCTTCTTTCGGTATGCGGCAATCTCATCATCACCCATATCGCGCACATCACGCCCCATCATGAGAAATTCGGCCATCTTCACTACGAACATCCCACAACTAGACCTGAGTCATGCCAGAACAGAAGACGTTAGGTTCACATAACCACATTAACTAAATCAGTACTTACCTTCGTGCATTAATGCCCGTCACATACCCATCATTTTGCTGAGGGCAGCATGACCCACCTTCAATCGCAAGGACACCATCACCTATCGGACCTTCTTCCCGTCCTTCATACACTCCCAGCTTATCCATCAGCTTTGGCAGAAACATTTGGAGGCTTGGCATGAATTGCTGCAGTTTCCGTTTCGAATCGCTTCTTCGCAGGCTTGAGTCATATGTCCTGATAACCTTCCGCGTAATGTCCAGGACCAGCAATGTCCAATGGCTCCCTGTATTGAGTGGCATGTACACGAAATCCACACCCTACCATGGACGGCCGTACTCCATCCTTCCTCCAACGATTGTGCTCCTTATTGACTTATTCCGTGTTGCTTGCTCAATTGTTAGTTCTTTCTTCAAATATCTATCGCACAAATTCTTCATTAATTCAAGGAACGGTGTGTCTGTCGTTGTGTACCTCTGCACTAACCCGAACTCCACACCATTCATCCTTAGGTAGTAGAAAATGACATCAAGATGCTGCATATTAAAATTGATTACATTATCATATGCATTCAACACACCACACAGAGTTTCGTATATAATTAACTGAATCAACATTACCGTATCTGACAGCCACCCCCAAGGGAAATAGATTTCGTAGTACCAGCTTTTCGTTAAGGTGGCCTTCTCATCGTAGTGAGTCTTAAACTCACTTGGTGCAAGAACATCTTCATTCACACAGTACTTACGCCCGGGCTCCTTCTTATGCTTCTTTAACAGACCTTTGTGCATGAACTCATCCACCTCCCTCAAATCGTCCTCACCTGGCATCTCAGCGGGGTCTAATGTGAATGGCCCCATGAAATCATCTCCATCTCCACCGAAGTCTATAACATGCTCCATCACTGTTCTCACCTTTTTCCTTTTACGCCTGACTATCAACTGGTCAGGACTGAACCGCTGTGGACACTTCAATGGTCTTTTCTGACAATCTTTTATTTCTCTTGGTATCTCAACCCTTATCGGTTCTTCATACACCTGTGTTAGTGTCACACCCAAAAAACGTTTGTCAAACACATATTGATTTCATCACCTCTGTAATACAATTCGCAGAGTACACATTCAAACACACCACATGGCTGACCACTCACATACCCGTTGACACACAAACTGGTCAGCCATGTATGTACATACCCGTTGACACACAAAGTCTTTAACTAAAGCCTCCAACAGAATAATGACTTTAAAAAAAGAAGTAAATACTTTTCAAATATCGGAACACTGTTCTGTAACAAAATTCACTACTACTAGATACACAATGAAATGACCACCATCACCTTAAATCTCTCCATCCCCAAGTCATTATCTTACTTCTACTCATATAACAAAAAACCCTACTTCAGAATATAAAATCTGCACTAGTCATATTTACAGTACAAACCACTCAAAATAATAGGTAAAAACAAAAAGCACGTACCACTATTTGTGTGCATGGCTCCTCATTGACCATTTCCTCATCAGCACCATCGTCCACAATCTCTTCATCAACCGGCCTTACATTCTCACTGAAAATTTTCTCCAGCGTCACCTCCTGTGCATAAAATTCAACACACTCAACGAATTCAGGACATGCAAACATAACATCACCTAATGACTAACAAAAACCACAAAAAACATGATCAAATTGAACATCAGACATTAACCACCTGAACTTTGGTATCCTCAACACCCCCAACCAAATTCCCCTCTAAACTGAAAAAAAGTTGAGACGGTGGACAATCCTGCAGATCCTACACAAATAACAAAGAGTGTAAAATCAGACATTTACATATCTCAACGTTAACATACACATTTTGGACAACACACACCTCAACAATTTGAGACACAGTCTCAAACCTGTCACAGAACCCACCAACCATTGCTCCAGTTACCTTCAAAGGCAAGTTTTTTCCAAAAAAATAATAATTAAATCCTAATATACATCAGTTAGGGAAACCACAAGTAATGATTTTAACGTTTACTCACAGTTCCATTCACAGTCTCAGGTACTCCAGCACATACGCCATTACTTGTTGATGCACCTACAAGTTCCGCAACATCTATTCGATCAACAACATCAGCCCGCTCATCCACTACCCTTTCATCAATATGCACATATTCTGTTGTCGTTTCTTTTGACACTTTTATTGACTTACTACTTCCTGCACCCTTTCCTGAATCCAAATTCAGTCCCAAACCCTCAATTGTCTGCCTCCATCGCCCTTCAACCTCTTGTGTGCTGACGTCATTCAAAGGATCTTCAACTTCATTATCAGAAACACCAAGTTGGGTTCCTAAATCAGCATCCTTAATAATGTCCTCCTCGTAAATCATATCTTCCTGATCATTGCCTGGCTCATCTCTCCCCCCTTGGCTCTCTATACCCAAATCAAAGCTCGGCAGTCCATTCTCTTCTCTTTTATCGCCTTTCTTTTTCTGTTGCCGCTTAGCCATTTTTGTTCCTAATAATACCCTCTTCAAAAGTCGGCTTTGCGCATTCAGTGCTATTCTCAGTTTAGTAACTTCCACACGCAGCTTAGAATGTCTCTTCTCCATGTGCACTATTGCAGTCAGGACATCACGCAATGAAGGTTCGTTGTCACCTCCACTCGCTCCAATTACCTCCTCCACTACACTTGGTCTCTCTTTTCGGGTACGCATATCTGCATTTTCTGTTCCTTTCTCTGTTCTCTTCACCCTTGCCTTTTTTTTAACCACATGACTTTTCACCCCCACTCCGTCTTCGTTCTGGACGCCATCACAACATGCAGTCACAGGCCCCCAATGCAACTTACCCTTTAAAGACCTTCGGCCAGCTCCATACCCTTCATTAACCTCTTCTCCAAATGCATTTGAACTGCTACGATTACCTGCACCTCCAACACTTAGCAATGTTTCAATGTTTCCCATGACACGCTCCATGGGTTTTGCAACCATCTCCTTCCAGATGACACTTTCCTATATACAATAAAAGTAAGTCAGATATATGTAACAAAAATTAATGATTGTAATTTTTAAAAACAACTTTTGATTAGTCACATTACCCCTGGTTTTCCAAAAATAGAATTCTCCAACACATCATGTTTAGGCCGCACGCTAGTCTCCCACCGCAATGCTCTCGGCCACAAGGATCCAGTGCCCTTCCCAATTGCACAAATTCCATTCTCCATCAAACGGGGGAACGTTTCAAATGACCAAATTTGTAGGGGGAATAAAAATCCAGGGAAAGTAAAACGACCATTACCCCTAGTGTTGAGGATCGAAGAACACCTGCCCATGCTCTCCACCAGATCCGTCCACAGGTGCTCACCCCATTCAAAGTCATTAAACCGCTTCACGTCATTAACCAGATGCATATATAGTGCAGGGATCTTTGTCCTCCCCTGGTTCCCCACAACATGGCAGCACAGAAGGTAAAGCATAGCCAGTTTAACTACATCCATAGGTTTCCTACATCCAATCACACGTATATTCTTGAACACGTGCTCCACATCCAAACGTGTTACGCTCATTTTCCCTCCAAAATACCTCAAACTAATGTCATTCGGCTCATCCATGTCAATACCCTCAAACATGGTTTCCTTCCCAAATTTCAGCCCGGTTATCAACGCAAAGTCCGTTTTCTTAAACTCAACAACTTTGTCACCAATGTGAAACTTTAAGCTGTCAACACATCCGCTCCGCTGTAACGGTTCCACATAATTGAGTGCCAATAGTATCATCAACTGCCCAGTAAACCACTTAATGCCACCTAGGTTGAAAAAGTCCCCAAATGCAGATTCTTTCAATTCTACCAAATCTGCATCACTGACAACCCCCTCCACAATTTTTGCCCCAACCCATACATTGCAAAAACATCTAACCTTCACCCCAGTCTTCCCAACCAATAGATCTTCATCACACATCCTTTTGTAAACGTGTGTCGTAATAACAAAATAGAAAGTCAGATATACCTCACAATATAAAACACCTCACAAAAAACAACTGTACCACAAACAAAACAAAAAAACATCCCTCGCAAAGCCAAGGTCATTATAATATGCGTTATACTATAAAGACCCAATACTAAAACGTTATGTTAGGTTGTCAACTAAAAAATTACACACCCTTAGAACATCTCGCTGGTTCGGTCACTAACCCACTAAACAAAAGCATATAAAGTCACAAAAAACCATACAATTCACCCTCTAATTAATAACAGATTAATGTCCACTACATGAAATCATTACTATGAATAATGACTTTTGAACAAAGACCATAGTACCCACACACATAATAAAAAAAAACTTCCATCACAGAGCATATGTATGGAAAATTTAAAAAAAAACTAGTCTTTTCACCATCAGATCGCCTACCCACAATCACTTAACCCAGACATTACCCAACCTACTGATAATTTGCTATCTAATAAAATCACCCAAATCTAAAATGTAATATTAGGCTCTCAACTAATGAATTACCAACCCTACACACACCACACAGTCAAGGACATTACATCAAACACCTCACATGCATCAAACTATACCCAAAATTGAATCAGAAACAATCACAGTAGTCATTTAGTCAGATACTAATCCACCATTAATCAGTCATTATTCAAGAAAAATACATAATACCTCCTCACATGCAACAACCAATTCCCAAATTCTAATCACCAAACACACAAAGTCATTAATCATTCTAATACCAAGACAATTAATCAGACATTAATTACTCATCACTCAATGTAATTGCCAAAACAACTGACACGCACCAACCTAATCCCCAAAAAAAATACACTCAACACTAACAGTCATTATTCAGACATTTACCTGGACAGTAACGGTCATTATTCAAAGTCCTTACATGCATCAACCAATTCCACAAATTTAAGAAGAAATTATCCAAAGTCATTAACTCAAACATCTAGCATGCATTAACCCTTCCCCAAAATTAGCTCTATTTCAACAAATTAAACCGACACCAAATGGAAATGATTTAGAAAATACACACCCGCCCAGCTGTTGTCTTCATTAGCTTTGTAGTCTTTATAATTGGGATTTCGTACACAAAATCATCATCATCACCAGCCGCTCTGCTAGACATCCTCCTCGCACATGCGCTTCTGGTCGTCATCGTTGTCTCGAACAGATGCACGGAGATAATACTGAACCCAACCTCAAACGAAAATTAAATTACATGTACTATGCTAAACACTCTCGACCAGCATGTAGTAGGAGCCTAGTTCTACATGGTAACTCGAGCGGCCAATCAGAAACCAAAACAGCGCCTCTTTTCTCGCGATCCCCCGTAAACCGCCTTTCTTTTATTAAAATAATTAAAGACTGGTAGAAGGGTATTTTTGACTATTCCCTTGGCCGAAAACTAAGAAGCATAGGAGGACTCCTATTCACGGAAAACGCCTGCCTTTACCTCCTATTTGAGTAAATTACTCTTTGGTCAATGAAGACTGGCGGCTGATCTGTGGGGTTCATGTCTAACTAAATTTTGGTAATCATATCAAGTTTATTCATATGGTGCGGGTGGTATTTAGACTATTTACTCTTCAAACTTGTTTCCCGTCGGACATTCTATCACACTAATAAGAGCTTTCCACTAATAATAATCTCACCATCTCAATATCTCATACCTTTTTTTCTCATTTGATTTTTTATGGTTTTCATTTTTCAATGTAATAATTTGGTTCAAATAAGGATGGGGTACAGTAGGAGTGAGCATGGTACGGTATTTAGCTCGTACCGATATTGAAAGAATTATTTGGGAGGAAAATCTGTGTATATTGAATTAGTTTGTGAAACTCTGGTTGTGAATACAAAGATCTAACCCTCTTTATATAGGAAAAGGGTAAAGTAAACAGAGAAATTTATATTCCTACTAATATAAGAATTAAACAAACTAGGAAAGATACTAAATACTAAACCTAATCCAACTAGGAAAACTAAACCTAATCCCAAAGGGATTCAGTTTCCTTCTTCAATCCCGCTTCATTCTTCTGTCTCTAACACTTTCCTTCTTCAATACCGCTTCCTTCTTCTATCTCTAACACCCCCCTCCCCCCTCAAGTTGGAGCATGGGAGTTCAACATGCACAGCTTGGACATAAAAAAATGTTCCCTCGGTTCGCGCATCTGCGCAAGCTTCTCCGCAGGACCCACGTGCAATTCCTACACGTACAAATTGGGAACTGCTTCAAACCTGCAAGAAATGTTTCCTCGGTTCACGCATCTGCGCAAGCTTCTCCGGCAGGTGCCACGTGCAATACCTACACGTACAAATTGGGAACTGCTCCAAACCACAGAAATTGAGCAACAATCGATGGACGCGATGATGGGCGATCGTGAACAGTAACCGCGATCAAGAGAAACTGTCGTCGGGATGGTCAACCCACTCGACCGTTCTTCAACAACGATCGACCATTTCGGCACTTCGGCAGCAACAACAAGCGACGATCGATGGACGCGATACCGGTCGATCGTGAACAGTAGACGCAGAAAGAGTTGTTTGTCTTCGTAGAACAACCCTTGTCCGACCACTTCTTCAAGAATGAGTGAGGATAATCAAAAAAAATTAAAAAATCACAATATCCCGCCGGTAGGCATTGAATTGTGTATGCCCACCGGCAGGAGAAGAAGCGTGTTTGAGGTCTCAAGAATTCAAAATTGGCTCTGATACCATGACAGAATTATTTGGGAGGAAAATCTATGTATATTCAATTGGTTTGTGAAACTCTGCTTTTGAATACAAAGATCTAACCCTCTTTATATAGGAAGAAGGTAAAGTAAACAAGGAAATTTCTATTCCTACTAATATAAGAATTTAAACAAACTAGGAAAGATACTAAATACTAAACCTAATCCAACTAGGAAAACTAAACCTAATCCCAAAGGGATTCGGTTTCCTTCTTAAATGCTGCTTCTTTCTTCTGTCTCTAACACTTTCCTTCTTCAATATTGCTTCCTTCTTCTATCTCTAATAGATACCGTACCAAATATTTCGGTTCGGTATGAGATTTTACTCCGTACCGATCCCAATCCCGAAATATCGGTTCGGTATGGTTCGGGATGGTTCGGTGTCGGTTTCGATCCAAATCGGGATGAAGATACATACATACTTTACACGTTAAAATTTAACAATACCCCTTTATTTTTGAAAATTAAAAGTGAATTTAAATAAAAAACATGACAAATTAAAAAAATGAATATTTAAATGCAAGAGATGCGTATCAAAAACTTAGTTTATATTTCACAAACTAAAAAATGAATGACAACAAAGGAGTATTTTGAATCTTTGTGAATACTTTTATGCTCATACACAATAATTAAAACTCAAATAAAAGTATAATTTACACATAATAAAACTTGAACCAATTTTTTTTTGAAGGAATATATAAAAATATTACTCCGGGGTATTATATTCATAATATTTTAGTATATATGTTTGATACGGGATTTTCGGTATGGGACGTCACCTCGTATCGTTCCCGAATACCATACCGACCATTCGGTTCGGTTCCTTTTCGGTACTTTTTTGGTTCGGTATTTTTCTGTTCCGTATTCTCGGGTTTTTCGGGAAATTTCGGTATCGGTTCGGTACTTGCTCACCCCTAGTGTACAGTGAAAAAAATTAGAATGCACATGATCCATTAAATTTAAGATGTAAGAGCTACGGAGTATTAAACATCAAAAATCTAGAAAAAAAATAAAAAAACATGGTGGTAATTGTGTAAATAAATAAAACTTTTCTGCCAAAGCCGAAAATGTACTATGATAAGATAGCCCCAAAATTCACTATTCTCACAGTAAGGTTCATTCTCGCAGTAAGGTTTATTCTCACTTGAACCAAACCATTCAATGCAATATTTTACTCCCTCTGTACAATAATTATCTTTCCGTTTACTATTTACATGGTCAAATTTTGTACACTATGTTGGGCTATTTTTGTTGCCTATTTGTTAAAATAATATAATCATATCACCTCTAGTTTTGTAGAACTTTTGATGTAGCTTTTAAAAACTCCCTCCGTCCCAAATTTGATTACAATATTCCCTCTCATTCTTGTCCCAAAATGAATTACAAAGTTCTAATTTTAACACAATTTGGACTAACTTACCCACCCTTTCATCTCCCAATCTAATACATGTGCCCTTTGTCTCTTCCCTCCATGATTCGTGTTTCGATATAATCTAGATCTACTCTCTCTTCTCTCCTCACCTTTTCGTCTCCCCCTCTTCATCTTCTGCATTTCCAATTTTGCTCTCTCTAAAATCATAACCTTTAGATTTCACATGTCTTCTTCATGGAACTACGATCTATCAATGCCCACTTTTCATCTCTTGTCACGAGAATCGCAATCCATGCCAGATCTAGATCGCCTCGTGTCTCTGAATGTAAACTTCTGGTGCTTGTTGAAATGTAACACCCCAACCTGCATAACTCGAATACTCAGATTAGTGAACCAGGTTGCTATTAAATTGGTACCCAAACACGACTTAATTTTCAAAACACTTCAAATAAATAATTCAAAACATAATTCAACATTCAATCTGAGTAATACTCAAAATAGTTGCAGAATCTTATTTCATAATTCAAAACACAACTTAGGACTCATGTCCGTAAAAGTAATAAGTTAATTCAAATAATAAATAATAATTCAAAATCGCCAAGCACCGCCACACACATCTCAGCATCCTCATCGTCCTCTGGGATTGGCTCCATGTTCCTCATTCCCTGGATTACCTACGTGTAGCAAAGGAACGAACGCTACACGCTCAAAATTGAAGCTAAGTGAGAAAGATATAACATACAGCTATACCCATAGATGATCCTGCTAGCCCATATCTTCATACAATATCATGCGTACAACATGCATAGCAACAATCATAACAGTATTCAAGGCACAACATGCATAATCAACATCATAACAGTTCACAAACGGTGATATAAGTATCAGGTACTTTCCTTTTTAGTTTAGTTTACTTCCTTTATCATACTTGGCTCTTAAGCTATACTAGGTTAAAGCTTAACTAATTCAACTTGCCTTTGGGAGTCATGACCTTCCCCTTGGGAACGAAGGTCAAGCACAAACCAACTCGGGAGTTCCTCATTGGGTGGGTGAGATCTTTTTCCCCTTCGGAACAATAGTTCATAAATCCTCGTGCGCATGTTTTTACCCGAACAACCATTGGACCCAGCATGTACCACATGACTCTAACTTACTAACTTATGGCGTACCTTGCTACTAATCCATTCAGGTCTGTCCCTAGAGTTATTTTAGGTGATTCATCCATTAACAAATCATGATACAATGTTCCTACATCAATCAAGCATCAACAACATATTCAATATACTCAAACAGTTGCCTAACACTAGGTGTTGATACTCATGTTTACTGTCATGTAACACACAAAGTATCGGAATCGATCCTTGACAAAAACATAAAATTCTAAACGATTTAGGTGCCTAATGATACCCTTAACGGTAGGGGGTACCAACCCCACGATACCAGGGTACCGTCCCACGATATGGGGGTACTGTTCGTAGTAACTCTGGCTCTCATCCGGTAGGCCTGTCACGGTAGCCTCTACCGACATGGAAGTAGGGCCTAATGTCTGCCTAGTACGCATGTACCGTTTGGTGAAAGGTGCCAGCAGAGAGAAGGAAAAACAAGGAAGGTGACTGTAGCTCGGTACTGTGCTAACGGTATCGTCCTACCGTCAGTCGTGGCGAAACTTAACTCTACACTAGCTCCATTTTTTACATCAAACTAGCATCAAACTCGAAATAACAAACATCAATAGGTTCTAAATTCATACTCAAACATTATCTAAAAGGTAACACCCTCCGTCCCGTGAACTCGGTTTGCTGCGGCCAACGAGCTAGAGAGGTTACATAGACGGTTTGAGGGACCGTCTATGAGGAAACCCTTATGTTACTCTTGTAACTGAAAACCCTTGATATATTTTAAATAGATAAACCGTTGGAAAAATTAATTGCCTTTAAAGAGATGTTTCATTACGGAAGCAATAATAGGAAATAAATGTTAAGTCTTTAATAAAGGAAGTGCAACAACGGTGGGTTCGAGCCCAAAAAAGTTATTTTAATAAATGGAAAATTAAACGGGTCCATATTGTCTCCTATCCGCCACTGCGATCTCCCAATCATCCGGGTCAGGCTCCATGATCATCTCTCCTACATGCGTGATGGGTAATAACCCATGGGTACCGCCCGGTAGGTCTGACTGACTGGGAGGTACCAAATGTGACACCACCTGACTTGTCTGACCCGGGCTGTCCGACCGGTTAGAAGGCAGAGACACAAATTCTACTATTGAAGTCGGCTTAGGGAACTGGTCAGTCTGCTGACCGGCTGGATAATCAGAGACGTGCTTGACGTGCCTAGGATTATTATAAATACCCTTAAAAGCCTCATTTGTGGGGCATGCTTTAATTAATCCACACGGCTTGTACTTTGTAATAGCTTTTATTTTCATTAATAAAAAACCGGGTTACAGGTGTTTCCACCTACAACCCTTCTGATTACTTATACTTAGCATTTGCGTGGTAATTTACACCATCAAATTGGCGCCGACCGTGGGACCTATTACAAATAATCCATGACAAGTAACCAGGAAACGGTCATTTCGCAAATCTCTACTCCCGCTGAGAACGCCATGTCGTTCCCGGGAGGGAGTGCCCAACCCTCAACCCAGATTCCTACCCCCATTATCACCATTCCAACACCTACTCCATTCACTTCCCCTGTTACCTCTGTCCCCATTTTCCCTCCAAATTTTCTCGGGCACATGGACCCGATGTTTTCACAGGCGTTCCAGAATTTTGGACAATTCATGTCTATGTTTCAACAACCGGGAGGATTTTCTCCCTTCATTCCTGGGTTATATCCACAATCTTTGCCCCAAATTAACACCATCCGTCTGGTCGCTCCAACAAATCTGATCGGAGAGATGGACAAAGCTGGTCCATCCCGGTCTAGAAGGAGTCGGTCACAGAGGTCGCACACTCAGATCACGCCTGATGGCGATGTGTGCTCGGTCCATAGCAAGGATTTGGACTGGGATGTCCCCCAGGCGCAAAAGAAGCTGAAGGGAAAGGCGGTCCAGCCTGAAGCATCCAGGAGATCAGCATTCCAAAGGCTGGGGCATGATGGCCGAAACCAAAACCGACCGGCCAAAGAGCGATTAGGAGTGGAGACGACCTCGTTGAGTGCTTTTGACCGCCTGGGGAGAGGGGCTGGGCGACCTGGTCGGACCAGGCGCGCGGAGCCACCCCCTCGCGATGGGCCCCAGAACAGTCGGGAACCCCGAGAAGAAGAAGCGAAAAGCCATCCTAGGAACACGGTCCGCACTCACATGGAGCAACCCAGGGACTGTGTGGGCCTGGTTGAAGCGCGTTTGGAAAAACTGCAGGGACGGGTAGACCGGGATGAAAAGAAGAAAATCTTGCTGAACGAATCTCCGTTCACAGACCAGGTTCACAAAACTCTGTTTCCAAAGAAAGCGAAACTGGAGGTTCCAAAGTTCACTGGGAAGGAGGACCCGGAGATACATGTCAAAACCCTTCACCAGAGTGGAAGGATGATGGGCCTTTCCGGGGACGAAAAATGCCTGCTTTTCTTCCAAACCCTCCGCGGCCGAGCCGCTGAGTGGTTTCACAACCTCCTGGCCGGCGAAATCGATTCTTTTGATGAGCTGGCCAAGGTGTTTCAGGAAAAGTTCAAAGAAAATTGTACCAAGAGGAAAAAGTTTACCTACTTGAGTACATCCGGGCAGAGGGAGCACGAAGATTTGACCAAATTCCTCACCCGGTGGAAGGATGAAGTTCACAAGGTGTAGGAGATGGACGACAAAACAGCCATGGCCCTCCTGGTGTCCGGGCTCCGGTCCAGAGAGTTGTATAAAGAGTTCTGCAGGAGGCCTCCCCAATCCTACCAAGAGGCCTACAACACGGCTTGGGACTACGCTGACGCCGAGGCACAGGTGTCATCCAAGAGGGAGGCCGAGCAAGGCCACTCCAAGGGAAGGATTTCCTTGAAAAAGGAAATCGAACTGCCCGACAGGGTAAAAGCAGAAGTCCTGGAGGTGAAGCCGGCCAAGTTGGAGAAGAAACCAGCCGAGGAGAAGTAATGTACCGAATAATATTGCTCTTTCCTTCTGACGGACTCCCACAACACTGCTGAGTGCAATAGTGTTAAGGGGATGATCAAGCAGATGATAGAGGCAGGAGAGCTTGATCCAGAATATCTGGCTCAGGCGAAACCAAAGAAGAACCAATGGGTCAGGCCCGAAGGACAACCGGCCGAGCAGAATAAGAAGAAGGCCGCCGGCAAGGAGCACTTACAGGTCATCTATGGTGGACCGAAAGGTGGAGATTCTGCTTCTCAAAGAAAGAAGTGGGGACGAGAACTCTACATTGGCACTGTTGCCCTAGCTCCCCGATCAAAGCAAGCCAAAAGGGAGCCAATCACTTTCACAGACCGAGATCTTCCTGCCACCGGGGAAGACCACAATGATCCTCTGGTTATAACTATGGACATGGGTGGAGTCAATGTCTCCCGGGTACTTGTTGACACGGGTAATAGTGTCAATGTTTTGTACCTGGATGCCTTTGAGAAACTCAAGTTGTGTCGAACACAGCTTGAGCCCTTAAAGACTCCCCTGTTCGGGTTCACCGGCGATTCTATGGAAGCTGAGGGGTCAATCCTCTTAACTTCTAAATTAGGTACGTGTGACAAAGTCATCCATAAGCAGATGAGGTTTGTTGTGGTGAACATAAAATGCGTTCACAATGCCATCCTGGGCCGTCCAGAAATAAACAAAGCCCGTGGAATCATCTCCATGGCCCACCTCTGCATGAAGTTCTATACCCCGGGCGGTATCGGACAAGTCAGAGGAGATCAAAAGAAGGCACGGTCTTGTTACTTGGAGGCTGTGAAAAAGATGACAAACGCATTCGAAAGGGTTACCTTGGTTTCCTAGGAGGAAGAACGGTCAAAGCTGGAACCGGGTGACGAAACCGAGCAGATTGTTCTCTGGGAAGCATTTCCGGAGAGAATGGTGAAGATAGGCTGGGATCTGCCTGGAGGACTTCGAGAGGAAGTCATCTCACTCCTCCGCGAGTTCACTAACATTTTCACTTGGAGTGTGGTGGATATGCCGGGCATCGACCGGTCCATTATCTACCACCGGTTGGCTGTAATCGAAGGCAGCCGGCTGGTGAAACAAAAGAAGAGACACTTGGAAAATGTCTGAAGGGACTTTGTTAAGAAAGAAGTGAAGGATTTGCTAGCGGTCGGGCATATCAGAGAAGTCTAATACCTGGCCTGGTTGGCAAACGTCATCTTAGCACCAAAGGGCGATACATGGCGTATGTGCGTAGACTACACGGATCTGAACAAGGCCTGCCCCATGGATTCATACCCGCTGCCCAGTCCCGATCAGATGGTCGATGAGACGGCCGGGTGTGAGTTGCTGAGCTTCATGGATGCTTTCAAAGGCTACCATCAGATCTTCATGGCCAAGGAAGACGAGGAGAAGACATCTTTCTTAACTCTTGAAGGCACCTATTGCTACCGGGTGATGGCTTTTGAACTTAAGAATTCACGCGCTACTTATCAGAGGATGGTAAACTGGATTTTCAAGCCACTCCTCGGTAAGTCCATGGAAGCCTACTTAGATGACATGCTGATCAAGAGCCCGGGAGCAATGAACCACCCGGCTGACATGAGGCTGTGCTTTGAGATCATGGCTAAGTACAACTTGCGCCTCAACCCCAAGAAATGCGTCTTTGCTGTAAAGACCGGCATGTTTTTGGGGTTCATGGTAACCAAGCGAGGTATTGAGCCTAATCCCAAAAAGATTAAAGCCATAACCGAGATGAGGTCACCCCGTTCACTGAAGGATGTGCAGCGACTCACCGGGCGGTTAGCAGCCTTGAGCCGCTTCCTTTTTCGATCAGCTGAAAGAGCCTTGCCCTCTTGACGTAAGTACCTGGCCCAAAACGCACTTTTCGGGCCCACGGGCTCCAAATCCAAATCCGTTTATACCGTTGGATTCGTTCAATTGAATCTTACACAATGATATAAACTGTAACACCCGCCTTCCGTGGACCCGGTTCACCGCGACCCGACGGACCAGTAGGGTTACATGGGCGGTCCGAGAACCATCCGTAATGTGAAAACATTAATGACTATTTATTATGAAAATGGTTGAGTTTAATTGGTGAAATAAATGCTAGGGAATTAATTCCAAAACATGTGTGATTTAAATGCAGAGTAAAAGCGGAAGTAAATTGATAAGTCCAAATAAGTAAAAGGACATATGGTGGGTTCATGCCCAAATGATGAATTAATTAAATGGTTAATTAATAAACTCGTCCGTGCGCCGCCCATCCTCCCATCATCGCTGTCTGTTGAAACACGGGCATGTCACGTTTTCGTACTAAAGCCGTGTTTGTTTTTATGACAGGTTTTGATAATGCCAAACCGCCGTGATCAAGTCAAACTTTGAATATACAAGGCGAAGAAGGAAGAACAAGAGCTAAAAGAAGACCAAGAACGAAGACCTTAGTCTTAGTGTCGTTGAGTCGGTCTTCATTGTGATCAAGACCGACCCAATCTTTACACCTTGGCTCTTTAGGCTAAAAACCTTCATTGCACTTCTTAAATCATAAAAATGTTTTTCAAACATGTTTAAGTCATTAAAAACACTTGGTGTTCGCCCAAACCAAAAACCAAGCCATCCGGCGTTTGGGTTTCAGAAACTGGCGTTCGGCTCTCGGTTATCGGCTATGGTTTTTGGCATCCGAACCAACCAAGTGGTTTTCAACTTTTTATGATTGGTTTTTACTCTTTGGCATGTTTAAACGGTTCTCCAACAAAAACACCTTGAAAACCATCTTTCGCTTTTGGTCGTTTGACAAAAATCATTCAAAACGGCATAAAACTTGGCTAGCCGTGGTTTTCACTTAAATGACGTGGTTTTTAAAGTGTCTTACTCGATTTATTAGCCAAATACATCAAATAAGTGTTTTAAACACTTGGTTTTTATTTTGGAGAACTTT